GGTTGGTGCAGAGGGACGCCCACCAACCCCCATTGTGAAAGTCCCAACACTTTTGCCTCTATTCTGCTATCATTACGAACCAAGTTTTTTTTTTTTACTTGGGTGACCGTAAGGCCCCAGTATGGCTTTGGCCCTAGGTGGCCTATGTGTTAATCGGGTACTGTCTGTAGTTTATATGTGTAATAACACGCACTTGGATGGTCCATCTATTGGTCTTGAATATAAATATATAAATTATATAAATTAAGTCATGAAAATATTTTAGGGGCACCATCTTTGGTAATTGGTATTTTTTACTTTAACGGCATCTAATGCGACTATTGGGTTAAACAGCCAAATCAGAAACTCAAAAGTTCACACATAATCGTCCTTAATTTAGAACTGCTAATCAAAATGAAAGCAACCAGTCAGTGCAATCACTGGCTATACATGGCTAATCTTAACCAAATAGCAGGATAGACTGTCACATTTTTTTAGTGGTGAATGTGCAGAGCGTGTTCAGTGGCATATCGAGACTCGAGCCTTGGACCTCCTGATCATGCTAACCAGTAGGCCACATCCGATCCGAGACCATATCAATCATTACACATAGCACATGTATTAATAGAAAAAACACATGTGTTAGTCACCAACATACGTCATAAAAACGATATGCTTGTTGTTTGGAAATATATTACCAAACGTGCTAATTGGTTCTTTTAAGGGTTACATATAGATATCACTAAAAATAATATGTAGATAAAATGCATATATGTATATATACTCCCTCACACACAATTAGAATAAATACGTAAATGAGTTTCTGCAAGGAAATATAGCGTTTTCTGTATGGAGTTAAGTAGGTGGTGGACAAGGAGAGATTATAAAAAAGTTGAAAATTGTGTTACAAACGAAATAAACATAGCAGCTTATATTAATAATGTATTACGAAGAACTAATTCTAACGTGGGAACTGTAACAACTGAAATTCTAAATAGTTAAACACATGATAATAGCCTTTATCCACCAATAAATATCGACTCTTTTGTTCGTTTATTTTAGAGCAAAGCCAAACTGGGTTACCTGCAGTGAATCAAACCACAGAATTTCGTGTTGTAAGTCCAAAAACTTACCATGTCTCACCAGGAGATATCTCAACTCTAAGATACATTCTAGATAGTTTTATTTACATTGCATGATTTTAGTATTTTGTTCTAAGAAGATCTCAAATCCAGTTAAATATTCATTAATAAAGTCTTTATGCTTTAGTTCTATGTCAGTTATGTTTGAGTGTTTGTTGATAATATTCTAATTAAAAAGTCTCGAAGCAGACTTATTAACAGCCACAATTTCGGTGGGACAGTTCCTATTTGATTACTAGATCAAACTGCAAAGTGGTATTAAATATATACATGATGCAAAACATTGTCATCACCCATCCATCCGTTCTTATCAGTGTCGAATACAAAACACAACATGTACAAATACAAGTTTACATCATTCTATTGTAACAAGTGTAAAAAATTAAATTAAGAAATTAGGAAGTAGGAATGGGAGCACTGAAAAGTAAGGAAACAAGGTAGAAATGGGCGGAATATTACAACACTTGGTGGTTTTTGACACAGTGCAACCTCAACGTGTGGTGGCCATCCTAGCCACTGAAGTGATGCAGGAATTGGAATGCCTGAACATCTCTTTGCAAAAGTGAGCGTAAAACATTTCTGGAATTCTTGTTGCAGTGGCGTGTATCAAAAACCTCTCTTCAAGAAAACAATAACAGTGAAAAGCTTCAGCAAAACATACGATAAAGTAACAGGATTAATCAACGCCTTGAATATCTAGCCTATTCAAATGCCACAAAAAAAAAACACACCCAAGAGCTTTGCTGGTGAGGCTATTACACATACACTAACATCTCCATCTGAGTACTACAATCTGCTAGACACTGTAGATGTGCAGTTCAGAGAACTTTTCGACCAGAGAGGCCTCCAGACTCTTGAGAAATTGGAGAAAGTTCTCCTCAATGGAGAGACTAACAATGTTGTGGACCAATACCTAGAGTTGACCAGGAAGTCATTATGTGTGTAGTTAGCCATGTTCATCTCAAAATGCACCTACAATTCCAGCAATGAAGCCGCAAAAATATTGAGGGACATGCTGTTTAAGGTCCATGGCCTTTTTGATCAGGTTGAGGCCCTTGCGAGGTTACTGTTAGCTGTCTCTGTCTCCTCTACTGAAGCTGAAAGGAGCTTCGGTGCTCTTAGAAGGCTGAAGACCTGGCTTTGTAATTCTTTGAAACAAAGACGCCTGAATAATGTAGCCTCGTGCCACATTCAGCAAGAACAACTTGATTACTGGGAAACTAAAACACTCTATCAGCAATTTATTACTGCAAATGACCAGCGCAAGAATATTTTCTTTAGAAAAACAAGAAAGTTCTTTTTATCTATTTGTTGAGAAGGGCAAGTTGAAAGTTAACGATACAGTAGGTTAAACTATGGCGAAAGAAAAAGAGAGGCCTTGTCAGAATTGCGCTGTAATGTGCCTTCTTCTAAAGGCACGTATAGTTATACTTCAAATAAATGTTTTTTTTTTATATACTATGATAGTTATTGTTATTTATTTGTATATCAAAACAGAAATTTTCATAACAAGGGGACCGTTCTTGATATTGCCAAACTGTGCAAATCCAGGTCACAAAATTAATGTGTATACTTTGTAGAACATAAGGAATTAATTTCACTTGCTGCAACAGCCAAGATATATACCATAACAAAGAGGTACAGATAATATATAATCTTATTTTACACAAAGCTTATTTTTGTTCAGAGACTAGCAATAACTAACAGTAACGCAGTTTCGTACCTTTTTATTTTCTAAAGGTATTTTAACTGGATAGCATTTTCAACTAAAATTTATACTATATCAATTGTTTCTTTGATTGTTGTTAAACACAAAGCTACACAATGGGTGATCTGTGCTGTGTCCACCACAAATATCGAAACCCGTTTTTCTACTGGTGTGAGTCCGCAGACGTACCGTTGAGCTAATGGGGCGCAACAATAATTAAATCAGCAATTTGATTTTTTTTTTCTCGAATTACCCAAAGTATTATTGATATAAGTGTTACTATTGTTTCACAAGTTGTACTGATACCTAAATATTGTGCAAAGTGTAATATAGAAAACTGGTTCTATTGAAAGTATGCAATTAGATCTTTGAAAGTTTTAAAATATTGTAAATGTTGATATAACTACTGTTCAGTAAATGTTTTGCAGATATAAGATAAAAAGGAAAAAATAACACAGCAAAGAACCCTTTTATTTCATTATTATTTAGAAAATATTTTCTTTTATACCTCAGTTTCACAGAATATCCTCCCCTCCCACTTTTCAAAAGAACGTTTCGCCCATGATACAGTAGGTACATTACAAGTTTAGAACACTCTACTGTAACATAACTCCTACTTGATGTAACTATAATCACATTCCGAGTATAGAAAATTCTTTAAAGGAAAAAATTAGGTACATTACAAGTTTAGAACACTCTACTGTAACATAACTCCTACTTGATGTAACTATAATCACATTCCGAGTATAGAAAATTCTTTAAAGGAAAAAATTAGGTACATTACAAGTTTAGAACACTCTACTGTAACATAACTCTTTCTTGATGTAACTATAATCACATTCCGAGTATAGAAAATTCTTTACAAGACACAGTAGATACATTCAAGGGCGCCCGCAGAAAAAAATTAGGGGGGTTGTCAAGTAATTCAAGTTTGAGAAAATTATGAAATAGAAATAAAAGTACCTTATGATTGTCCAATAACATAGAAGAATAATTTTACATATCTAGTAATTTTTTTCTTTTTGAAAATCCAGGGTCAAGTGACTCCCTTTGCCCTTCCTGCGGGCGCCCATGGATACATTACAAGTTTAGAACACTCTATTGTAACAGGGCTCTACGTACTAGAAGCTGGAAATTTGTGAGCAATGTTCACAATTTGTTTTCTTCTTACTGAAAAAATGCCCCCAGTGGCACAGCGGTATGTCTGCGGACTTACAACGCTAGAAACCGGGTTTCGATACCCGTGGTGGGCAGAGCACAGATAGCCCATTGTGTAGCTTTGTGCTTAACTACAAACAAACAATCTTACTGAAAATAAACTCACCTCATGCTGTGATATTGATATTTTCGGAAGAGGCATAGCTTGAATTTTGAAATCACCATCATTCCTGCTTTCATGAAACTGTCTACATCTTGTTTGACGTTTGATTTCACTCGATGAACAATCACTGTAGTCTTGGAGCTCAGAATTTGAAGAAGATAGGTTTTCTATTAAAGAAAGCAAATCAGAAGAAGTTGATTGGATATATTTCAGTGGTTGAAATCGAAACGTGAAATATATATTTTAGTAAAACAACTAATAGTCACTTCGCTGACTATTTATAATATAAATTAGAAATTATAATACTTCAAAAGTACCATACATTATATCTTAGTCTAAGCAGCACCATTGTATGGGACAGAAACAACATTTTAATGCCTAAAGAGCGCTAGAATGTATGTATCTCTTTATTACTGTTTTTCAGAATAAGTCCATGAATTTACTCTGTATAAAAATGCCTGCTACTCAGATTAAGTGTGCGTGTACATCTGTTTAGTAAACTTCAGCTACTTAGATTAAGCTCGTGTGTGTATATCTCTTTAGAAAACTTCTGTTAGTCAGAAGAAGCCTGTGTTTGCCCATCTGTTTAATAAACTTCAGGTACTCTCGTGAAGACCGTCTGTGTATATCTGCTTAGCAAGGTTTGTTGTTGTAGGCCTCCTTCGGCCAGGTTTGACCATGGATGAGCATCCGTCCATTG